GTCGTTTCGTTTCGGTTGTTTCGTTTCGGTCGTTTCGTTTCGGTCGTTTCGGTGGTTTCGATGGTTTCGGCCGTTTCGTTTCGGTCGTTTCGTTTCGACGTTTCGCCTTTTAGTACATGCCTTTAACTACAGTGATTAACGCTAACTACAGTTAGCGCTAATTACGTTTTTATACAACCGGCCCCTGTTGTTTAGTAATACATTTGACATCCGTATGAGCGATTTGTTAACAATACAATTTCGCTTGTCTTTCAAAGACAAAGACCATATATCGCTAGATACTATTGTTTTATAGTACAATTTCTTACCCTGAATCGAACGGTGATATTTTTATCGTTATTGCGCCATGAGGCATTACAAATACAATAGCCCGCGTGCAGGCCCAAGGAAGCAGGCTCAAGGGAACTTGATAGTGGGCCTGCAAGCAAGGCCCGGTATTTTGTACTTTCCGCGTTCGCCCACGAACGCGGCATTCTGATTGGCTGTTTGCTGTTGGATTCTATAATTAGGTCAGTGATTCATCACAAAGGCTCTCGATAAGCTCAAAATTCGAAAATTGATTACTTTTTTCGATTATAAATGGAACAAGAACAGACTGTTTATTGTTTACTTGAAGGAAGAGATGTTTTTGCCGTTATGTCAATGGGGATTGCTTGTCGTGAGGTGTTGGAATAGCAACATTACGACTGGGGTAAACTATAGTAACCTTTACTTGAGTTTCATTAATTTCAAACAGACTTGATACATTATATGTTCCTCAAGAAAATTATCTTTTGGTTGATGTTGAGATGCAGTTTTATGTAAGCCTATTCGAAACACTTTGCGATATACAAGGCTTCGCTGAGAGAGCGAAACAGAAGACGGTATTAAATTGCCGTTTGAAACGAAACGATCTGGACTCTGAACGCTCTCTTCGTTTGTAGAGTTCTTTACCAAATGAAATAACTGAAATAAATTTCGTACTTTCCGCCGCCAACAAGAATTGCACACACGATCTGATAAGTGAGACAATTTATTTATAACAATGGCGACAGCGAAGCACACATTATAAATGCTAATGTACAGTAGTCGCACGACTTCCCTCACGATTTGAAGTTTGAGACTGGTTTTCTGTTGAAATTTGTCCTAATTTGCCTGTTCCGATTTTAGTTGAAAATGAGCACTTGCAAATTTGGCAACTACTGACTGCGTTGCTTGCTTTTTTGGAGTTAAAACGCAGCCATTTACACATTGTTTATGTTCTGAATAAGCAGAGAAAACCCCGCAACATTTTAATGCGAGTTTTTTTGTTAATATTTGGGTGCTGTCATTGGTTCTTTTTTGACAATTGACGCGCGGATGGGGCGTGTTATGAAAAGGGGCGTTTTACAAAATACCGGGTCTTGCTTGCAGGCCCACTATCACTTCCCTTGGGCCTGCACGCGGGCTAAGTTAATCAATCCAAAAGCAACGCGAGCCTGCTGAAAGCTAAATGTTTCGTAAAACGTTTTGATTACGAAAGTTCTCTGAGTATCATTGAAATGCTAAATAACTGTTCTTTCGTCGTATGTAAAAATTGAGTTGTTTAGCCACGTTTATGATGCACGACAGCCTGTTGAATTTCCATTGCATTTTTTTAGACACCCTGTATATCAGAAGTATAGCTAATTGTATAAATTAAATATTAATTTTGTTCCTTCTGTAGGTATTGCTCTCGCTGCTCACATAGTAATGCTCTTCCTCTCCGGTGTTTTATTTATCTCTGGGTACAATATTATGCCTGCAAATTTTGGTGATATACCGCTGGATCTGTCTAAGGACGCCACCAAACTACGGGCGGATGCTTGGAACTTTGCGGTGGAAAGTGGCGAAGTGACTCCATTGAGCGGAGGGCAACTGGAGAGAGGGACTAAATACGGTCAAGTACAATTAGTTTACGAAGGTGATAATGTATTTACTCGAGAAAATTTACTGAGTATAAAGCATTATGAAGAGACCCTGTTCAATCGCTCCAGCTATCGAACTGAAATCTGCTTACTACATGGAACTGCAAAGCACCCCACATTACAGGCACCTGCAAACCCCACACTACAGGGAACTCCAAACGGCCCACAACAGGGAACTGGAAACCCCACATTAAAGGGAACACCAAACCCCACACAACAGGGAACTGCAAACCTCACACTACAGGGAACTGCAAACCCCACAATACAGGGAACTGCAAACCCCACACTACAGGGGACTGCAAACCCCACACTACAGGGAACTGCAAACCGCACACAACAGGGAACTGCAAACCGCATATGCGCAAAACCTTTGTCTATATTAAGATTTTTTGATGGTACCTATGCAGCGATAAATTCGACATTATACGATCCAAATTTTGAAAATATTGCTGGTGTTCTCTACACGGCCAGTATGAATAAAAAGAGCAACGCTCTTCTAAACTTCCACTTAGGAAAAGACGCTAGGATTTCACCCACTGAAGTGTCTTCGCCTTATACCAGATCTTTATTTTTCACCGGCTGGCCTCTGAAAGGGTACAAGAGCAATACTGATCGCCAAGATGACCAAAAAAAGGAACTAGACAAAAAGGTTGTGGAAATATTTTGGGATAGTTTTGATGAGAAATATAACGATGGTGTTGGTGAGATGAACTTTTATTATTTTAGCGTATCACTGTGGACAGCTGCTCTTCAAAAACAAATCATCTATGATATGATGTTAGCTGTTGCTAGTCTGTGTTTCATCTTTTCATTTTGCTGGTTCCAAACTGGCTCATTGTGGATAACCAGCTGGGGAATTTTCGGCATCTTCTCAAGTTTCAACATCACAAATCTTCTCTATAGAATCGTTTTAGACTACAGATATTTTGGAGTATTTCACGTTATGTCAATTTTCATTATTTTGGGCATTGGGTCTGATAATATATTTGTTTTTATGGACTCATGGAAGCAGAGTGAAAATAATAAATATAAAAGTCTTGCCCATAGATTATCAGATGTTTATCGCAAGTCTGCTAAAACGATGTTTGTGACGTCTATAACAACAATCGTGGCATTTCTCTCCAATGCACCGTCTCCGTTGTTGTCAATATCTTCTTTTGGTATTTTCTCCGCAGTTCTTATTTTTGTCAACTATCTGACAGCCATATTGTTCTTTCCAACTGTTGTGATGTATCATCATGAAAGTCGCAAAGGTATGTATAATGTATGTAAAACTATTCACATTGTTCAAACGTGGCCTCGTCAACGATCAGTTGATTTCCTCACAGGATATCAAAACAAAAGAAAGTGTATTTAGTACATATAGGATATTAGACGGTTGCGACGAGATGTGGATTTTATGTATATCTCACGAGTGAGCGCAGCGAACGAGTGAGAGATTGTTTTTGACACGAGAACATAAATCCATATCTTCTCGCAACCGTTTAATGTTCTGTTTATTATATGACAAAAATACACGCAAAGACGTCATGTAAATAAGCACGCCAAAGACCAGTATAAAAGCGATATTTTTTAAAATTATAGTGCAAACATAAAACTAGAATAAATTTTACTTATCTCCAAGATGTCTTTTAAATGTTTTCGTTTTATTTCCAACGTTATTTTCGTTTTATATACGAACCAAAGCCCATTTGTATTTTCAAAACAACAACATTGAAAATGGCGGCAAATTTTCGAACTTCGTATGTCACTAGCAGGGGTGAAATACGGAAAATACGCGCACCTGGTCCCGAATGTAGTGACGTATGAGTTCTACGAGTGTTTTATTTTTCAGTAAAACACCATTGTCCATATAATAAATGTATTTATTAATAAATGTATATAATAAATGTATTTATTATATAGTCGAGAGTGAGATACTGAAAAATACACAGTGAGATATTCTCCATATCTTCACTAGTGAATATATCGATCACGTGACTTTTTCCAATTTGCTCTTGAGCGTGAAATTTCACATTTTTTTGTTTGGGACTATATAATAAACAGAACATTGCGCTCGTTCGTAAAATATAGTTTTCACCACTCGAAGATAAAAGTCATATCTTCGCGCCACCGTGTAATATCCTCTATGTATACTACAGTACTAAACACGTGAAAAGGCTCAAGTTGTAACAAACCTGCAACAGACTTGTAGCAGTGCTGTTCCAATGTGTTCGTACTACTGGTACATGCATGTTCCCAGTTTGTTGACAAGTTGTCAACGGTTTGTTGAGAACTTGGTACAAGGTTGTTGAGCTCAACAGACTTGTTACAAGTTGTTCCAACAACTTGTTATCGTCCTGCAATTCAATAATTTGTCAAAAAGTTGTGAGTGATGACCTTGTAGCAACTTGATGCAAAAGTTGTGAGATTTTTATTTGTGTACAGTAGTTGCCGCATACGTTGGGTGTTTCGACGAACTTCTGCAATACTGTAATGCGTTTTATTCTATATACAGTTATAGAAATACACGTGGGAGTTTTGGAGAACGAGAAACAGTCGATAATCTTGTTTTAGTCCATGCAGTATCTTGGGTTTTCAATATGTTTTCATTTTCCCATTTTTGCTTTATATATTATTCAACCATAAGTGCGCACCATCTTCTCTCTGTAGGTCGCTGTTGGTGTTGCGCACTGTACTGCTCCCATCAAAATCCAGATAATGACTTGCTAGAAGGAAGTGTTAGAGAATCGTCAAGAAGAAAAAAGAAGACCATATTGGAATATGTCATCGAGTTTTTCGATGGTTGGTTCTTTAGAAATATTGTTACACACAAATATGTCCGTTGGTTCGTACTTGTCGTATCTGCAGTAATAATTGGTGTCGCTATTTCCTTTGCTACACAACTTGAACCTGATAGAGAGCAGGTGAGTGAAGTTTTCTCGATAACGTGGCTGTCATGAGGGGGAGTGGGATGCTGACTTAGAATACTGTAGGCTACCAATATCGCAAACATCCCTAACTTGGTGATGTTGCTACTTGGCTTTGCTACACAACTCGTATCTGGCAAAGAGGTCGTAAGTCCCCAAACCCTTTTCCAGATAACATTTGTAAGAAATGTAAGAGAAAAATATTCTCTCCAAGCATGGTCTTGTAAACTCAAGAGTCATCTTTTTGAGCATTAACAGGGCACAAAATTCAAGGTGATAATAGTTCGACTCTATGTTTGACAATGATTTTGAAATACATTTTTGTGTCTTGTTTTTCAACAACTCACAGTGAAGTGCTACCTTTCTTATTAAGCCGGAAATGATGACCGACTCCAACATGAAAAGTGCTTCTTTAAACTTGAACATTAATTGTACGACTATTTTTGTCAAGCATTACAGGTTTACAGTATATACATATTACTTTTCGCATAAGTAAATCCATTCGTAAAACTCACTATCTATATTTTATAGTTCTCAATATGATTAAGCTAGTGTTTTCCCGATCTAGAACTTTTTTCGGTCTAAAGTGCCGTATCTCTCATTAAACGTATTTCTTCTAATTTTAGACACAAGTTTGGCGAAGTGACACGAACTGGGCGACGTTTCGTCATCTAAGTAATAATGCTTTTAAAAAAAGTCAAGAAGATCATGCAGTGGTTGTTTCCATTATCTGGGGATTGAAAGAACAAGATCGAAGTGAATGTCATCATTCTGATTTTAAGTGTAAAGGAAAGACAGTATTCGATCGAAGTTTTGATCTAAATCCTCCGCCATGCCAGACGGCCATGTTGGTAAGTTATCTTACTAATACGTTTATTCTAGGTTCTGTTTAGTATTTATACTAAACTAAAAACTACAGTACAAGGGCTTAAGCTTCACGAAACAAGGCGAGGATACCATAACAGCTAAAATATCATGCATGCACGATATTGCGCTTGCAAAGACGTCTGTCATATCAGTCTGGTCGCAACAGACCCGTGAAGTACTCATCAAAATATCCTTCCTCTTTCATAGCAAGTTGTCGTCAGATGTAATGGTATATATGTATACAGTAATCTTCCCAGAAATAGCGTATTTCCTATCTGCACAGAAACGAGTCAGCTTTATTAGTGCCTTTTGCGGTTTTCCATGGACCGTTTCAAACTACAAACAAAGTCAGATTGTATTATTTTTGCTTTTCCGAGGCTTTGTCATTTTGCTCCCATGATGGCCATGAAAATATATACGGGTCTTTTCTGCAACGCTTCACATTAAAAATACATAAGATATAGATGAATAGTTACTCTATTATCATACAGGACAGATAAAATAGCGATATTTTCAAATACATGACAATGGCGAAAACTTCACAGTCCTTGACATGTGAAACTTTGAAAAACAAAATTTGTAAGGGAAAACCACGAAAATGTCGCAAATGTCCCCTCGACCACTAACTCTCCTTTTCACTGCTTTTTATGCGCCGTTGTCTCAGGAAACACAAGTTCTCATATTTAATAAAAAGTCTCATCTTGGCCAATTTCTTAATTCACTGTGAAAGGTGCCAGGTATATGATGTCATTACATGAATTGCATACCAGTTTGCCTTTGTATTTTGCTGGTAAAATACAATCTAATGGCATCGTATTCGGCAACTTTTGCAGTGAAAAGTTTCTCAAGATTAGATTTTGTGTTATGAAGATTTTTCCTGTTCGAAACCGAACAGAAAAATTCAGAGCGCAATATAAATTACTGCATCCAATGGTTACAACCAGTACCTATTTCTTGGGATTTCGAACTAAATAAGAGTAAAAAACAAGAATTTTGTATTAAATAAGACCAGAAATCTCACAATTTCCTGAGACTGCGCACCCGTTCTCCCAATTAACTTAGCGCCAACCAGCGACTGTGCCCCCAGACCTTTGCTGGACTTGCTCGGATGCGCTATGTGGTCCCCCAGTAACCTCCCCTGCTGAAATTTCTGCACCACCACCCCCTCCCCCGGAAAAATTTGATAATCCATCTATGATTACAAAGTATAATGTTTGCAGGATTTGTGCAAAGAGTTGAAGGCACCATCTCATGCACAAGAGAACACATTAAAGTTAAGGAGAAACGAAGTTACTGGAGAAGTTGAAATAAAATGTGTTTTTGAAAGAATGGATGAATATTTAAAGGTTTGTCATAAGTACTCAAGAATTACCTTGAAAAAAGCTCACCCAAAATGAAATTTGATTTCAATTTTTTGAGTCCTGACCTGCGTTGGGTAGATTCCGTGAAAGGGTAAATAATATTTTTGAATTTGTATAATTGGGTAATGGATAGTGGTTCACCTGCAGTTATCAGAGTGAAAAAATAGTGGTGGTTCTTTTCATTATATGGAATAATTATCGTATGTTTTATGGCAAATAGATAGCATTAAGAGATAATTGATTATCCCTAGTATATCTCGAGATAGCATGCAACTTACACCACTTTCTTCCTCACATTGCATGTAATAAGCTACAGTATCGTCAAATTTGAATTTTCTTTCTAATTTTTGGCACGGTATTGAAGATTTCGCCAGATGCTATGCAACGAACAACGTTTCAAGTGGGCTAAATAAAAAGCATCCCAGATATTACTGATCATTCAGAAACTCATTGTACAAAGTTGTGTTATTCTCATATCAAACCAAACTTAAATATCACGGGCTTGAAAAAAGATATGGAACATTTTTGAAGGAAAATGGAAACAAAAATTATATTTGACTAATCTGGAAAGAATGTTGAGATTATTTACAAATTCTGTTTTTGAATATTCCCAAACTATCTTAATTTTTAAAATATTTGGAACCAAAACATTCTGTTATCCGCCATCTTGTTTTATAATTAGATCTAATTCAATTACGTTACGTCCAGGGTAGACGTTTGAAAACTAAAATACGATATCAGTGGAAAGCTTATACATACCTTGAGTTTTAATTTAAAATAGACAGTGTTAAAAATATAGCAATTAGCGCTAACATGACCCGAGAAAGATACAAAATAATTTTACCCCAGTTGTGACGTCACGCATGTCCGACGATGGATATGCATATCCAAGATGGCAGAATGCGTAAGTATTTTGTTTGAAATGAAGCTAAGGGTAATATCTTTTACACCGAGAACGATAAAGAAAATCTTCAACAAAATTTTGAAATTTATTCAATGACTCTTTCAAATGGAGGAAACTTAAGTTTATCGCTATTTCCCGTTAAAGAAATGCTACCATCTTAAATTTTTTTCCAACAAAAGTATAATTACAATTCCGTAAAATTCGTGTCATATACCCTCTAAACCCTGCTGTACTTGATTTGCCTCCATTGTTCTTTACTATCTTTACCTAGGAAGAAGCAAAGAAATCAAAGTATCCGAATGGCTCAGATTTTTCATTCGTGATTAATGCCAATAAGATGCAGAATATGATGTATTATAACCCTGATCTGTATAATGTTTCTCTGCTCTCTGATTCATACTACCGTTATTTTGAAATTGGTCTTGGATATTTCATAACAGATGGGGGGTCTAAAAAATATGCCACAACTTACGACTTCAAAAAATATCAAAGTCTGTTGGGAGGAGTGATGGATCCAACATTATCACGAACTGCATCAAACAACACTTACCTACAAGGTAAATACAGCAGGCTAACTTCATAGAGAGACATAACGACTTTAGAGAGAGCAAAACAGAAAGTTACCAAGAAGTAATAATAGTTTGGTTTCTTTGTAGGCAACACGTACGGACATCGCCTCGCTTATGTCGCAATTACTGTGAATACAACATTAAATCCGTCTTCTCTCGGATACGAAGAAGGCTTGCCCATTTATAGAGACTGGGAGGATTTTGTAAATAACAAGGTATGCATCGATTTACTAGCAGTGCTTTCCAGTGAAACGTGACCAATGCTATAGCTAAAGTTAGTTGTTAATTCTCGTGTTGCTTTATCGAATTAAAATTATAGTAATACGATATTCTTGTATATATTTACTTTTTCCCTTTTATTAGTTTCCCTTATTGTAGTTATAAACCATGACGATGACCCTGCGAAATTCGACGTTTTGTGAATTTGGATATATTTGAATATATAATTTTTTGTATAATTTATTTTACAGATGAAAACATTTCCATCGTCGTGCAACAATGCATTCCAAGCAACTGTAACACATAGCTTTAATGTTTGGCATTGGGTTAAGGTTCAACAGGTAAGGATATACATTTATCGCTTCCGCAGTAGCAAGCAATGTATAACCTAAACTTTAGCGGCAATTTATCAGCTTGATGAGCTCCGTTTTCTGTGCGAAGGACTGCATGCAAAAGATCAATAACAGTACACCGTTCTGGATAAAATAATGGCAATGTGCAGGAGCACAATGCCTATTTAATGATTAACACAAAAATACCAAATTACAAATAAATGTTACAAATTTAGTATTCATGCATAGCACAGAAAAGGTGGGGTTTTAAAAAACGCCACAAGCCGACTATATGGAGGCAGGGGCGCACATTCGAAAAAAATTTGGGGGGGTGTCCTATGTTCTGGGACCGACTTTTGTAGTATTTGTGTTTGGTAAGAAAAGCCAACTATTTAAAGCGCATAGACGGTAAGACGGGGATAGCATTCCAAGAGTTTAAATAAACGTTCAGTTTTTCAGAACTTTTGCAGTGGTCTAAACTTTTGGAAGGGGGGAGTGCAAAATTTTTATGGATTTCGAATGCGAGCGCCGTAGGCGCGAGGAAATTTTTGAATTTCTAGATTCATTAGAACGCTATTTCACGTATTTTAGGACAAGGTTTGAAGAAAAGTTACAACCACAAAAAGGCATTTTTAAGTCGTCTAATGTTGTTAGATCGAAAAAATATTTATGTATAGAGTTTCAATAAACGTTCAGTTTTTACCGAACTTTTGCAGTGGTCTAAACCTTTGGAGGGGGGGGGGGACAAAATTTTTATGAATTTCGAATGCGAGCGCCGTAGGCGCGAGGAAAATTTTGAATTTCTAGATTCATTAGAACGCTATTTCACGTATTTTAGGACGAGGTTTGAAGAAAAGTTACAACCACAAAAAGACATTTTTAAGTCGCCTAATGTTGTTAGATCGAAAAAATATTTATGTAAAACATAGTATTGTACACGCAAATACAACAGCAAAATAGCATCATGTCTTCGTTTTTGTAGAAGTCGGTCATGAGTATCGCCTTGAGCGCAAATTCAAGTTCAAATGTGCTTTAAAGCAACCATAAGCATTTTTTACTGGAGTTAGGATTCTAGGTAGGGAAGACTTCAACTTTTATTGGCAAACAGAAGAGATGGGTATCATTATTCACACATCGTACCCCCACCCCAATTTCTGCCCGGATTTCAGCTTTCCACAAGGGCAGTCCTTATGCCCATTGCAGAACCCCCCGAGCCCCCATCTTGGCTACGCCGCTGATATACTTCTGCCTTCCAAAGTTTCCGCTTTTACGACAAGACTAACAATGCACATATTAACTGCACCGCGGGGGCTTGAGGTAATCGGATCGCATTACGTTGGTTGAACTGTTGTAACATGGAAGTTGATTAGTTGCTCTCTTGGTTTGTGTCAGTGAACTCTAATTTGTGTATGTCTAATTCGTTTTTCTTTGTCTAATTCGTCTTTCTTATGTTTATGCAACTTCCATTTCCAGAATGTCCACCTATTACTTTTTTCGACACAAAATGATAATATCTTTCAGATTTTAGCCGGACCGACTTTTTCGTCCCATTCAGGTTTTGGGACCGACTTTTTAGATCTATTTCACAAAACATGGGGGGTGTCACCCCCCCCCCACACCCCCCCTAATGTGCGCCCCTGGTTATCAATTTCACATGCCCTGCAAATAGTTCCTAACAGAAGCTGGCACCCAGATATTTTCTATAGCATAAACAGTAGTAGGAACAATAATTTGTTCTTACTAAATTATAAACAAAATATTACCCCCTCCTTACCACTGACATGTCTGGGGAAAGGTTTTTGTTAGAATTTCCTTAACCACTTCCAGCATGACTTGAAATGCCATCAGCTTTGGCATGCTTCACCCCCCTCCCTCCCTGTCCCATGAAATAAGGTCCTGGCTATGCCACTGATTGTATCAGACAAATAACATTTACATATTGGGATCCAGTGTCAGACATGTATTGTCCATTTTCTATAAACTATTTGTCCAAAATTGTCCTACAATTTTAATTTAGTAGTTTGTGAATTGTGAGTGAAGTCACAAGCAGAACTCCAACAACCCAAATTTTTTTAATAAGTTAATACACTGGTAAATTTCAAGTGGTAGAAACAAATAAAAAGGTTGGTGAACACATATTTTAATTTTGTTTATAGTCATAGACTTAACGTCTATTCGGTAGTGTTTATATAATATATTCTCCAGACGCTAGTAACTCCAGTCAAAGGGCTTTCCCTCGAAACGTCGGTAGTTGCGGCCCTATTAAAGAAAGCTTGTTAATGGCACAGACAGTTCATTATACTTTATAATATATTCGCATTCGCTATTAGTAAATTTGCCACACTCCTTATTAATGTAATATAAGTACAGACATATAAAAGGTAAATAAAATAAAATTTTATGCACTATGTTGCTATTTCTAATTTTACTTACCTTGCTACTTTGGCTTTGCACATCGTCGACATCAATATTCATATTCTCATACATATTCATGGTTTCGTCGTGTGTGGCCATTTTGGATTTTGGTGTAAATTCGGTACCATGCCTTCATTGCGGTGATTTTCTCGGTTAGCTAAGTAACCAGGCCTTGGTTTGGCTTGTTGGTTTTTGAACAAATTTTGTCTGAAATAATATCTGACCATGATGATCTCTGTTTCCATTGTTTTTATGGGGATATTTAATCTTTATAAAATGAATGTGTATGAGAGAACATGAAATAAGTGAATTTTAAACAATACAAATTATATCGGTTATCATGGTATTACAAGCTAAGGTGAACCAATATCATGACATGTCAGGAAACTAGCAATTAAATACCATTTGACACCAACAGGAGGAGTACCTAACCAAATTGCCAGAATTTTATTTACTATTTAATTTAAACATCTTACAAGACAAAATTGTGCCTGAATTTAATGCTTGAAACATCTTATTTCTGTCAGAATTTTCTCATTTTTTAAAGATTTGTAAAGGGAGGGGGGGTGACACCCCTCCAGTAGTTATGGCCCTGTCTCAAGTGATGGGAAATGTCCTTTGATTGCAAACATCCCTTTAATTAATTGGCTTTCAGGGTTTAATAAATAATCACTAATTTTCCTATTGTCATGGTATATAAGAAATGTGTAAAAGGCCTGAGGTAGATTGAATTATAGAATATGATTGTTATTGACAGTAGTCGTCACATTAAAAATGACTAATTTCATGTGACAAATATAATTATCAATATATTAGTTGCATTTTAATTGCATACTTGTAGAAATAAATATTATAACAGTTTTTGAACATTCAATTTAAAATTAATTAATCAAAAAATGCATAACTCAATATGTATTGTTGCTTGCCCATATTAACAAGTTCTAATAAAGTACAATTTATTAATTATTCAAAACTGTTTGTGTTATTGTTAGTAAATGAAAACTCCCCACCAGGAAAATAAGTGTGGGGCATTGCAGAATGGACTAGTTGGGACAGCTTGAATGGAGGGTGTTCTTGTTGTTGCATACCCCATTGAAATTGCTGCTGCATCATGGCTAGCATCTCCCTTTGGAATGCAAGCTGGTCCTCCCTTGCCTTCCTCTCATATTCCATCCGCTCTCTTTCAAGTTTCGTTTGATCCATTATCCGCTTATAAACCTCCTCGTTCTACTTTCCACAAATAAAATAAATAAAATATATCAACAAAACAAATTGAAATATTATTAATTATAATCAAGAAACATTTCTTTTATTGCCACGCACTGCATTACAAATGTTATTTCTACTGCTGATTAAAATAGCTGGTTATATGTTTGTATTTTATCATACGTGTTTTTTAACTTGCAAATAATATGACGATTAACTATATGAAAAATAAAGAGTACTCGCCCCAGCAGAAATGACACAGTTGTCCAGTTGTTCAGCAGTTGCATTTTCTGTGCATATAACAAGAAACTGCCTCTCTTCTGACTGTGGCCAGGTTGTTCGTTTAACTTTCGGCGTAACCACAGACGGTAGAGAGGCAGTTTTTGCATTGTTAACGGCAGGAATGGCAGAAACTTCGATGTTGCCATTTTTTAATGTAAAATTTAGTTGCAAAACTGTTTATACAGGAACTTCGCTACTTAAGTTAGCCACAGCGTGTTTTGGATGAGCTCTGAAGCCACGGCTAATTTAGGCCGCATCTTATTTTAGTCGCGAACAAATTGTCTGTTTATACGACTGTTCGTGACTTATTTAAGCTGTGGCTTATTTAGGCCGCGGCTTATTTTTGCTCGTATAAATGGCCCTATTGTTACGAATATATTAAGGCAATGCACTGTGTTCACTATAAAAAGCAAAGCAACTCGATGCCTAAGCATTTGTTCACTTTTTAGTGTGAAGTTTCACTTCACACTGTTGTGATGGCTGGCGAATTCACACGAATCAGTCAGTCAGTCAGTCAAACAGTCAGTCAGTCATAGAGTAAACTTTCCGGGGGGTGTATACGATTTATGTTTGCAGTGATTTATTGTATTTAGTCAGTGCTTTTTTAAGCAATTTTCTTTAAATATTCTTTTGTCCTTTTACCAAGTTCACAAAAATTTTGAAGAATCATTGTCGTTATTGTAAATTCTGTAATTTCAGAACATTCGCTTCTCATGTTGTGTAAAGGATCTTTCCGTCGGAACACCCGATTTTTTCTATAGCAGCGCAAATGCGCATGCACTCTGAAGCCATAGATCACAATGCTAGGAAGGAGCGATAGTGTTGTTTTCAAATGTATAAACATTTCAGACGTGAATATTGAGTAAATCTTTGAGAATCTATGCAATATATAAATAAATTTATGTTATGCATGACGGTCTTTCAATCAAGTACTGATATATGTAGACAGTATATTCATTATACAGAGCTAGGAAGGAGCGACAGTGTTGTTTTCAAATGTATATTTCAGACATAAATATTGAGAATTTCTTTGACATTCTAGGCATTCAATTGAGTGCCGATATTATTTTCACGGCATACTCGTTATACAGAGGTACAGTACGTAGGCAGAAGCGAGACAGTGTTGTTTTCAAGTATATGAACATTTCAGACATGAATATTGAGAAAATCTTTGAGATTCTATGCAATAATACAATATTATGTTATACATTTAATACCGGCATTCAATCAAGTGCTCATCGATATTATTTAAACCGTGTATTCATTATACATTGTCATTGACTGTATAAGGTGCTACATCACAGAATAGATGGCTACAGTCAGTACAAAGAGCAAAAAATTGCATCAGATCTGTATCAGATCAATAAAGCATAAACAACTATTAAACAGAAGCAGGTAAACGTTTGTACGGCGTTTACGTGAAGAAAATAACTTGTGAGACTAAAGAAATCAGTTGAGTCAGAGCTCCTTATTTAAATAAGAAAGACGAGGAAATAGCAAATGTGTTATCGCTAACGTGTTATCGCTAACGTGTTATCGCCAATCACTTGGCTCGTCAACAAGCTTTATGCAATAGAAGAAAAAAGCAAGGAGGTACATGTAGCCAAAGTGTACCGTCACAGACCTTGTCTTTGTTTACTGTCTAGTACAACGCCGTCAGTCACCGGTGCAAACTCTTGTTCAGTGCAACGATAACTCTACCAGATCTTACGAGAATCAATCTGTAGTATTCTGTACACAGAACTGTTCAAAGCTTGTCAAAACTGCTTTAAACACTGCTTAACTGTGAAACTATTGAAATCTAAAGACTAAAGTGACATTCAACACATGCGAAAAGCTGAAAATAGTCAAAGGAAAAGTCAAAGGTCAATGAGACTTTGTTATATTGTGAAACATGTCACAATTAAGTTAAAATGCGGAAGCGGATGGAGTGGATCCACGGAACAGATATGCGGATAAAATACGTCCTTTTAATGATGTAACAACGTAGTGCTTATTATTCATAACATATCTTACACAGCTATTTCAATTATAGTTTTAGATAAATTTGGCATAGCAGTAGCCTTGTGGGGATTCTTTTAGTCACAGCTGCAAAATTTGAAAATTTGGCTGTTGGTGAAACAATTGAATTGTCTCGTGTAGCATCACAATAAATAGATAAATTGCATCAGTTTCACAAGGCACGTTTCTGGTGTGTTAGGCTTGTTTCAAACGTCATGCCACTCGTGTGCCGTGTGTATTAAAAGCAATAAATAATGAGATGAAATGCCTTTGGTAACTGTTTATTTCGTAGTGTAAGCCAACAGCTTTGCTAGGTTGTCGGCGACCCTATATAGTTCTTGCAGTGTCTTTTTCAATTTGAAACTTCAGACTATCCTTGGTTCCCTAGTTATGTTTGCAAGCAAAAGAGCTAAAGTAGATAGGAAGTCTGTCGATGGCATGTTTACTAAATAGATGATTCCATTTGGTCAAAGACAGCTATGGGTTAGATCATTGTCCTGTAACAGGCTGTGAGCATTCTGGATTTACAAGTCAAAGAGGTTGTCGTAAACATGTAAAAACAAAACATGGTTGGTATTACTATTTTGACGAGAAGTCTATTGTATCAATCAACAATTTCTACACTTCGCCGTCTGCTGCAAATGAAACTAATGAAAAAGCTTGCAAAACAGTTCCCACCAGAACCCTTATACCCATCCCTAACCCTAACAATGTAATTTAATAATGTGCAACCCACCAGAACCCTTATACCCATCCCTAACCCCTAACAATGTAATTTAATAATGTGCAACCCAAATACCATTCTACCAGAACCCTTATACCTGTCCCTAATCAATCTAAGGGCCTGTTCGTATGGGTAAAAGTTATCCCGTTAGTTATCCCGCTTACCGAGATCTCGCCTGTCAACAAGCGAGATCTCGGTGCACAGGAAAACTTTTTGTCTCATATGAACGCAGTGTAACTTTTCATATTATTTTCATACCAAGGCGAGATCTCGCTTGTAAACTTGTCGAAAAGTTTTCTTGCTAACCGGGATAAATTTTGCCCATATGAACAGGCCCTAATATATATATATATATATATACGTCTTATCAGAATTTTGTTTCCTCCCGGGCAGCTTTCCTTCTGATTCTTTTAATTTTGTCTATTAATTGTTTTTGAGTGTATCTTTCTGTCATCTGTTGTTCCTGGCAATTTTTGTTGTTCTGGATTGCTCTGAGGCATTCCTTGCCACTGGCTTTCGGTGGTAGCGAGTTTAAAACTGCCATAATCAACGTTGTGTCAAGTGGAGTGAATAAACAACTCTCTGTCGCCGAGCTCACCGATGCAGAGGCTGGCAGGTCAAAATCGGATGAACTTTCCCACGATTTCGCTTTCTGTACGACATCAGGCCTTAGGCCTTTCTTCTTTTTCTCCATCTCGAGAAATCTTACAACAGTGCTGACATTTAGGTCTTTAAGTAAACTGTTCTTCGACATTCTCGCTTGTACTACCAGTTTCACTATAATTCTGTCAGCCTCCAGTAAGTGGCCGGGACAACCTTTTAATTTCGTCTTTTCTTAGGAATGAGATGTTGTCAATCGAATCGTCACTGTCCTCGTCACTGACCTCCTGTCCACCCCCGACTTCCTCTCCAGCCCCGACTTCCTCTCCACCCCCGACTCCTCTCCACCGACTTGCTCTCCACCTTCGACTTGCTCTCCATCGCCTTGGTCTTCCTGGGGTAAAGGGGATAGTCGGGGGTCAATGAGTGGCACAGTTCCATGGGCTAACCTCTCGATCAGGTGATGCGCATTTGCATCACCTTCTCCTTCCCATTCCAAGTTATAGTACCTTTCCACAGTTTCTACTGAATGGCCCATTTGCTTCGCAAGCTGGACCCTCGACCCAGCAGCAGAGGTCTACCCTTGCTGTAAGCTCACAAGGCTCTTGCACAGACGGGAACTCTTCAGTGTCCCCTTTAGCTGAGGGGCCACCTGTTGTCCCATCTGCGCAAGGCGATTACTCGCCCGAGACTCGTCCAGTGGATTTCCTTTAGTTGATATGAAAAATAATGGCAGAGCGGGAATTCCAAGAACCGCTGGTGCCACTGAACTGTCCGTTGCATACTTGGCACATAGTTTCTCAAGATATGTATCTGCGTACGATTTGATCTCATTGTCCCAAAACAATTTGGCCAGCCCTTCGGACGCCGTTTTGTGGCGAAGGGTTCAGCTAACATAAATCTGCTCCTTGCCTGTCGTAGTGCCATTCTGAAATTCAAATATGGTGAGACTCGAGGCGGCCCTGCACCGCTGGCAACTAATACTCTGAGGAGTAAATAATCCCTCATCGCGGTGAAATCGTTTATACTGAATGTGGGATCGTCCTGTTTTTTGACGTTTTCGTCAAACGCTGTTAACTCATTAACTGGCAATGCGCCCGGATGCGCCCTGAGATTGGCAAGTGGGTAACTGGCAATGTGCTGGCATTCGCCCTCAAATGACACCTCAACTTGCGGGCATGATATTCGAGCACGTGTTTATCGGGTTGCCTAGCAACGGATACGAAAATAGAAGGCGAAATTCGAGCTTTTCAACAATGTATCATGCAAGAAAATCGGCCAAAAACTCGCAAAGTTTTTCAAGTTTAGAACCTTAGTTTTTCAAAAATAATGAATAATGGCGACATTGTTTCAAAGACGGATTTCACAGCAAGTTTTAAAAGAGAAAAAAGAAGAGGTTTTTGAATCATCTACAACGAAAATTTGGCATGAAAGGAAAGCGAATGTATTGACGTTTTGGGCCAAGTTCTTCTGTGTGAACCATGCACGAGATTTTCAGCAAAAAAGATGAGGATTTCTCCAAACTTTATTAAAAATAGAAGTCGGAAATCACAAGGAAGATGAACACGGAACTCAAGTGAGCAGATACGATTTTTTAAAGGGTATTTTTGAGTAGAAATATGCGATCAAACACTCACAAAATTCGACTGCATTAATGTTGGTTGAATATAGTTTAAAGTTATCTTTTTAGACAAACTGTTTATGCAAATTTGGTGCAATTTCGACTGTTTTCGTGACCCCATTGTTGCTCTTGTGCGTACGTGACCTTTTCGACCTTTCTGGCAAGAATATTTCGAGTATTAAATTACACTAAATAAGTAGGATATTCCGAAATCACTGTTAATCTATTTTCATCAATTTAGTGTTAAAATGACAACTCATTTCAGACGTATTGAATAAACGCGCTTGCTTGCCGCGTGCGAATATTCATTAAATCCACACTTGAGTTGTAAAGCTTTCAAAATGCATTTTTACTGTTTTTTATATCCCCTATAAAACTTTAAATCGATAAAGCAGATAATAATGTTTGATGCAACATCATTTTCTAGTAACTACATGTTGAATCAGAAGGAAAAGTTATCAAAATAGGTCGCGACGGTTGTTTGCAAAATGTCGCTTCTCTCTGAAATGGCTTCCTTTGCGGGAAGCCATGAAATTGAAGTCCTAACAAAAACCAACCTTAGCAGTTCATTTGGGCCCATTGCTCACTTATTTATCATGAAATTGCTTCACTAGAACATTTTTAATAACCTCTATGGGAAACTTTGTAATTTTCTGAACTAAAAGTTTATGGTTTTGAGGTGTTTATTTTATAAAATAGCACGCGCGACAAAATGGCACAAATGTGGTTTCTCACCTCTGACAAACAACCAAAGATGAAAGTTCTTATTTCACCCTTTTATAGCTATGTGGAATACCTGAATATTAGGTTGTCTTTTTCAAGTGAGCATATAGATAACATTTCTACACAATAGTTCTTATGAAGGCTTATTTCAAACTCAAGAAAAGAGATTGTTTTTCAGAGCCAGACTTCAAAAGAAACCACCTGGCTGACATTTTATAGCAGCCTACATTGCCGCACAAAATAATTTTGGCTTTTAAACCGTTGCTTTCCCAATAGAAGCATGAGAATATTGAGCTAAAAATCTTAACTGACGTGTGTTTAAAGTGTTTTTCTCTTCATGATGCTTTTCAGTGCTTTGAGTACAGAAGTAAATAACTTTTAGTTTTGTCACTGCAGAGTGCCTTTCAAAATGTCGGCTGTCATTGTCTGTATTAAAAACACCTCAGAAAATTCCCATTTTCTCACCTTCCCATCCTTGGTTTATATTAAAATAAATAAATTTAAGCGCTATGTGTCCTTTTAAATATATTTGAAGCAATTAAAAAAACTTTAAAGATGTACAAACACTGTGTTTTGGCTTGCACACTTTGTTGAACTTGAACACTTAGTTACTGTTCTAAATTTCATGTTGTAAACAAGATGCCCCCAAAAAGCAAAGAAGTAATTTTTGAATTTTTTGATAATTTCATAATTCATATCCCAAAAGATGAAAATTGGTTGTAATATAGATATGTATTAATTTAGTAAATGATTTTTTTTTTGTTTTTATATAAATTTATGGAGATATTGCCCCTTTAGGTGATGAGTGACATGAAAAACAAAGTGTCACTGCTTGATAAATAAAAATAATGACTGAAAAAACTAATGATATATATAGGTATGCAAGGTCATCTAAACTAAATTTGGTCAATCATATATCATTCATGTTTGATTGAAAAGATCAGACTTTTTTATGCAATTGTTTCTGAGATATTGCCATTTTGGTGAAAGCTTGGAATTAAATCATGAATTCGCCATATTGCTTGCCACTTTAGGGGGTGGTAACATTGTAACAGCTTGCCAGTTAATGAGTTAAAGAATGCCTCATATCCGACGCGCATAGCTTTTCGTCCACGTCCCGCAGACGGATGTCTGCTTTTCGCTTGTTCATTGCGTCTGTCAACGCCTTTGGCCAGGTGTCCAACCTGGCCAGAGCAGAATTAACCAAACAAATATCGGCATCACTGAACTCTTCTAATTTTCGGATTTCTTCTTGGCGTGCAATGACGAACTGCAAGAAGAGGCGCATTGATCCAATATACGCCTTGAGGATCGCTGGCTGTCTCTTCTCCTCTCCCAGCAAGTCATTGCCCTTGAAAAAGTTGTTCTTTAGGTGATTTATGTTATTCCTATCCCAGAGGGGTTTTACTGAAGTTGGGCTATCTTGTAATTCAAACAGGAGTCGACAGACCCGCCTGGTATGGTCTTTGGCCACTTGAGGCTTTCAAGAGCCCCCCTCAAAGTCCTTCAAATATGTTTAAACAATTGAAAGACAGGGAGGCTCTCGAAAGCTTTACGGGTGCCCTTGTCGGGGTCTTCCTTGGGGGGTTGCGGTTCCGCGAGCATGACGCCCAGCGGCGTTGTGTCAATCTCTTTGGACTCTGATGAATCCGATTGCTGCTCGTGATGTCTAGTGACATCTTCCCCATGTATGGATGGGTCTGGGTTAGGCTGAGTTACCTTGGTTTTCCTTTTCTTCTGCTTTCTTTCGGCCTTTTTGGCGGCAACCAGTTCGGCGTGTTTGTGTTTGGCTCTTTCCGCTGACACTTGTTCGTTGTACCTGACAAAAGAGTAGAAGGAATGAGTGTTTTGGGGGTAGGAATGAGTTACTGTTTTCGGTTAGGGGGATGTACTTCAGGAAATAAATTTTTTTTCAACCAGCTAACCTGCGGAATTCAGGGTCCTCCTTGTTCAACTTGTGGA